CACCTCTCAGTGAGGTGGGGGGAGGTGGGAGCTGGTCCGCACGGCCCCTGCCCCCTGACCCGTCTTTCTGTCCTCTCGCAGGCTGCCTCTGCACCGTCGGCGTCCTGACCTACGGGCTCATCAGCTTCAAGAGGGGCAACACACGCCGGTCCCAGCTGATGATGCGGGCGCGTATCCTGGCCCAGGGCTTCACCTTCGCGGCTCTGCTGGGAGGCATGGTGGTCACCGCCATGAAATCCAAACAGTGAAATCATGAGAGAAGCTGTGGGTGTGTGCCCGGCAGCCTGTGCCCTCGCTGGCAGGGGGGTCCTGGCTGCAGACGGAGGTTTCTGAGAGACAGTTGTGGACGGAGTTTTCTGAGAGACAGTTGTGATGGTGGAGCCGGTGTCAGAGAGGCTCTGTGTTCCAGAGCGCTGGAAATGCAGCTAATACAACTCTGTGATTAACCTCAAACTTGGGCCGTGGCATTTCTTGATTCCCTGAGAGCTCATCCTCCTGCAGCACCGGAGGCTGCACCTCACTAAGGCTCTCCACCCCATCAGACCCCTTGTCCCTGCTTGGTGCTGTCACAGTCTGTTAAAATTGTGTCCTGGGGGTTGTGGTCTGCACTGAGGTGTGGCTGTCGGCAGGGCACTAGCTTTTGAGAAATGACCTGCCTGGGTGGGAAGGAACGGCTCTGTTTATGGCTTGATCCTGGCAGGGCAGAGTTCATAGCAACAGGTGAGTTGTTTTGGACAGTATGTAATCTGTTCAGTTGCAACCAATGAGTAATAAAGTGAATTGCAGTGAGATTCTGACTGATACTGGATTGCAGGGTGTTGAGAAGCCAGAAGAGTAAACAGTGAAGGAAGGAAAGGGAGCAGGCACTCTGCCCCAAAGCTGTGGTGACACAAACAGGACAGAAGTGATGTGACTCCCTGTGAAAACAACTTGGGAACTCGCATTTCCGAAATGGGGCCTGGCTGTGTTCTCTGGGATGCACTGCTCCCTCAGCTGCTTTTGCTGGGGGGTCGGTTCCTGCGCAGCTCACTGCTTCACACGAGCTGGAACTGGCTGCTGAGCAAGCGCCCTGTTCCCAGAGGGAGCTGCCTGTGTTGTGACAAACATTGTCACAGGCAACTCCAAGTCCTGCTGTTGGCATTCATTTGGATCATCCCAGGGTGTTTGGTGAGCAATGAGGCTTTGCTCTCTCATGTCAGGGACGCAGAGCCAGGAGGACGTGGGGCCATAGGCTCTGTTTGCTGTTGGCAGCTTGTGCCTGCCTGTAGGCAGTCTGTCTCTGCAGGGGAAAGCAGTACAGACCCTGCCAGCCGTGCTGCGATGCCTCCTCACGTGTAGCTGCTTGGGCGTTTGCAGGCTTTGCTCTCTGGGTGTCTGCATGTTGGTGCCTGCAGGGGCTTTCCAGCTGGCTGATCCCGCTTTGCCCTTACAAGTAGCTCTGGAGGACGACGGGGGGTAAACTCTGTGCAGGAACGAGCACTGGTGTGTCCTGTCTGGGGAACCATGGTGCTGGTGGGTCTTGACAAGGAGAGGGGGAGCTGACTTCTGAAATGCAAGGGTGGCGGACAAGCCATCGCAGGTGCTGAGCCAGAGAGCCCAGGGCGCTGCCTGCCCCACGTGTCTTTTCCAGAAGAAATCGCGGGCTCACTGGCACTTCCAGCCCAGCCAGCTCGGGGCAGGGGT